TGGGGGGGAAGCAGACTAAAAACAATGGAATCCATGAACTTCAGTGTAATTCATTTGTCACCTTTCTGTCATTGGTAGGGGCCAGGGTCAGTCCAGATACCTAGGATTCTTCTTAAAATTACCAAAGAACCCCAAATCCTGCAAAGAAAGCTGGAAAACTAAATATATTCTCTTTATAGACAATCCTTCCTTCCCCCTCATGAATACTGACTATGTATAAATCAATGAAAATTATACTAAGGGGAAAGGAACAGAGTATGCATTGGGACCCCAATCAACCATGTCTTTATAATAAACTGTAATTAAAACACCTGCCCCTTCATAGCTTCAAAAGTAGTTCTTTGCCTCGGTTTCCCCATCAGCTGCTGTGAATATGTTGTGGACTAACCCCATTTTAATCCCCTTCATATCTTCCTTTCATGGCTGATGCACCTTGGCCATGATTTGTTGTCAGCAATTAGGAAATTCCTAGAGCACAGGAATGCACTTGGGTAGGACCATCTGCAGGCCTAAAGGCAAGTTTTTCCATGCCTTGCTGTTGTCTCTTAATGCAGTACAATCTCTCTGCTATTATATCCTACTGTACTGCTATCCCTTCTAATCACGGTGATATTTTTGCTGCCATTTTGCCACCTCTGGCTACAGTACCATACTTCTACTGTTGCTATGCCCCATCTCTGTGTTATTTCTGAACATGCTTACCTGTATGCCAGATATGAAGCTCCTGCCTCCTAACCAGCTGAACTACACATCTCATGAAGGAGAAGACAGATGATCCAATTGTTTCTGTGTTATTTAAAGAAAAAAACCCTGCACCACTACATGAAGCACCTTTGCAAAACAGCAGAGGGGAAAAACAAGCTAAGAGGATTAGGTACCTAAAAGAGATCAGAAAGCAGCTTATAAAACTGTAATGAAGCCCTCTGAAGTGAAGCAACTGAAAAATTCCTTTTTTCCACTATAAATGCAAAGATCTCTCACTCTGAGTATCAGGCTCTTCGGTCTAAAAGACTTCAGAGTAAATTAGGAGCCCTGCTCTTCACACATGCACACACAGCTAACCAGCAAACTGCTTCTGACTTTTGCAGAATGCTAAGGTTCTATCTGGGAACGTACCAAAGGGCCTACCCACTACATGAAAAGTACTTTTTGCTGCTCATATGGATTTGGCATAAAAGTAATTGACCTAGTTCAGCAAAAAATTCACTGTTTTTTAAAGTGACAGAAGTCCATGAGCTGATATGACTAGTATGCTTTCTGAACCAAAAACTACCCAGTACTTCAGGAAGATGGCAATTTTCCTTAAACTATTTAAATTACTACGTTTTTGCCAGGTCAGCAATTCAGATGCTATCCTATACATTATCTATACATAATACAAGTCATCATATTAAAACGTCTATTAAGGGCATCTCATTGGGCATTATTCCTGCTTCATTCCATTTGAGTCCTGGGATCAAGAGTATCAGATTGTTGTTTCTGGCCTAGATCATATGGAGAAGTTGATATTTTCTGCTTAAATCAGAAGAAATTTAATACGGCACAGGCCTTTTCACATATCTAGCCACTTATCTTGTTTCGTTTGCAAATATCATATGTATTCTCTTGAGATAAAAATAGTGTGAGATGATTAGTTAGGCAAGTTCATTCGACACCATTCCCCCTCCGTGACGCTGAAATCTAAAATCTGTATATGGTATACAACTTAAAGTATATATAAGCAAGCTCAGCCCTGGTGAAGACACACAGCAAGTGCTTTCCTTACAACTAGATTGCCTCCTTCTCCAGTCAAGAAGACCACAAAGGTAAGCTGATTAGATCCTCTCCTTTTGGAAAAAGAACAGCAAAAGGAAAATACTCCATAAGCTAAACGCATCTATTCAGGGTTTTTTTAATAATCTTGAACCCTCTTCCATTCTGCCAGACCTTTGCAATCTGGAGAAGAATGATCAGCAATCAGACTGGAGGGTGGGAAGGGGCACTAAAAATGCATTCCTCAAAAAACAATGGTATGCTTCAGGATTTTTTTTAATTTCCCTTCAATGTTTCCCCCATTTCTTTTTTTTTTACTGTCAGTAGGGAGAAGGAGGTGGATTGCTGAGCTCCCTATCAACCTGCCTATCTGGGCACTAAGAGTAGTCATAGCATTTGCTCCTTACAAGAAGTCACTGAGACAAATTTGCTTCTGGCATTATCTGAAGCAGCTCTGTTGAGTTAACTGGAGAGGTACCCATTGACCCTGGTGGCAGATTTGTCCCATTTTCTCTTTGCCCCCTCTGGAGAACCTGCAACCAGACCTAAATGGCTGTTAGTTTGTTTCCCCTCCACGTAAACCATATTGCATTGAAGCAACCACCTGACTACCTGATCAGCCCTCCAGATTGTGGGTAAATCATGACCTATGTGGAGGCACAGAGCCTAACTTATTAGTAACAAGATCTTTCCTCAAAACCATTTAGCCAGAAAGAGAAATAGAAGGAGAAATCTACTGTATTTTCTATACATATTCTATATGGGAAAGATTGATTATGCTGTTAAAACACCACAAAGAAATGCAGAAATCTGAATGCTATTCCTGGCTCTGCTACAGACACTCTCTGTAACCTTGTGAAAGTCACTTCTCTTTACCTCAGTTCCCCATCCACTAGCAATTCAAACCTATCTCACAGATGCTGCAAGTCTAACCTTTTAAGTAACTATGACATATTTTTAAATCCTCCATGGTGAATGTGCTAGAATAATGAATATATTAATCTTAAATTACATTCCTATGGATGAACAGCAGAGGCTGGGATTTAGGACCTCATAGTAGGTTTTTGTTAAACAACATATTCATTGGCCCGCTTTGACAAGAGCCTCTGGAGTCATCACAGCTTTGGTGGGAATAAGGGGGTCTTTTGTTGAAAACTGATATTTCATGAATAAGTCACTTTCTGTGTTTCCTCCCTCACCAATCATGGATTAATTTTAAGTCTTCAAAGCTTTGCTTTAAGAACATTCAAATTTACCACAATGCCTGCTTTTGGAAAACGAATCCAGTTAATTCTACTCTGCATTGAGCCAAAGGAGTCCAATGAAGAAGAGTTTCTTATAAAACTGCAAAAAGATTTAATCTTCTGTAGAATCACAAACACAACAGGCCAGATTGACTTCTGGTGTCATTCAGCTTACCTCCCTGGATCTAGATGCAAAGTGAATGTGCTCCTGTGCATTTAGAGTCTTTAAAAATTAAATTAGCATACAATATATGACCTCAAGGTTACCAGTATTTTTAAGAAGATTGCCTGATTTTAGGCATTATCTTGAATGCCATGCAAAAGTCATCTTGTGTTTAGCTTCAGGAATTACACCACGTATACATCTGTCTGCCAGTTTTAGACACTCTGCAGATGTATGTTTTTTGCTTATGCAATCCATTTTAATAATAATAACCCAACTTCCAGGAGAATCCTCAGACAAGTCATGCTTTTTTGGGTGCTAGACACCTTTGACTTGATGTCTCCTACTGCAGCCCAGGCATCCTATGTTACTAAGGGCCTCACCCTGTCATGTGGAATTCCTCACTCATTACTCGGCCTCAAGTGAAAGCACCTGCTGCAGACATCTGTTACTGTATGCTCCATTTACAATTAGATGAATAATGTATCCCCTATCATATACTGTCATACCAGCAAATTCAAACAGAGCATTTGCATGAAAGATGGAGAAGTTATTCTAATGATTGAATAGCTCACATTTAATTTATTTTACAGTCCAGCCATGGCCATCACTGACATCCTTTCTGCTAAGGATATTGAGGCTGCCCTTTCCAGCTGTCAGGGTAAGGAATGGTCCCTCACCAATGAGAAAATGTATATCATTTTTACATCTCCATATGACATGCCTATCATTTTCCCTGTAAGATCTCTTTGTTACTGCATTACAGCGTAGCCTCTGAATTCAAAAAGTCCTATGAGAAGTTCTTTTATGGGTACTGTCCTCAAACATGTGCAGCAACAGCTTAGAGCTGAAGGGCTACATTCTCAGCTGCTGTAAAATCCATGTAACCCCATAGACTTCCATACCACGATGTCAGTTTTAAACCCTTTAAGACCTTTTCCCCCTCTGTGTTGACTCTTTGTCTCACAACATGTCCAAAACAGAGCAAGGCACCCTGCCACTTCTGCAAAGTGATGATGAATTTCCGCACCTATGAAGACTTCCTCTGTGCAATCAGGGCCACCTATCTCTTAAGTTCCCCAAGGTGGTAAAAGACTCCGCATGAATTATATTTTTGGTGGAAATTTGCCTGAACAAAGGCTCAGTGGAAATAGAATAAGGGCTTCAGGATTTGGTCTATACATTTTATGCCAAAAAAGCATATTCTAAATATTTATTGTAACTGCGTGGGATGTACGTGGAAAAAAAAACCTCTGGCTTTGCAGAATGTACATTCTAACAGAAAAATTTTATGCTGGCTGCAAGTACATCCAGTCATAAGCTTACAGCAGCTGGAAAGGAAACCTACCTGTTGGATCATCTCTTGCATTTTGCCCCAGGGCACAAAAGGGCAGGAGTGAACAGGTGCAGCGAGCTGGAAGCCGGGGGTGGGTGCCTTAGAAATGTGTAGTTAAAACAGACGGAAGAGAAAGGGTTTAAATAACAGATGTCTTTCTTTCAGCTGCTGAGTCCTTTAACTACAAGTCATTTTTCTCCACGGTTGGCCTAAAAGGCAAGTCAGCTGACCAGGTAAAGAAAGTTTTTGGAATCCTTGACCAGGACAAAAGCGGCTTCATTGAGGAGGACGAGCTTCAGTAAGTGCAACTCAGCTGCTGTGTCTCCTTAGCAAGTATGGGTTTCAGAAGCTGCCACATCCTGACTGTTTCTGAAAGCCATCAAGCTTGTGAATTTCCATGTAAATACAAGATTAGGGAATTCCATATACATTAAAATTAGCCTTTATTTGTGGTTTGGTGGGGGCCCAGCTTTAAGTGAGAAAGACAGGCACCAAACTACCAAACCTATTCCAGAGAACAGACGGTGTCTGTACAGCACCCAGAATGACGCCCACAATCCTGACTGCAGCCTTGCAGTGTCTTTGTAAGTTAAATGCCAGAGAGTAACATCCCTGTCCTATTTCAGGCTGTTTCTAAAGAATTTCTCCTCAAGTGCCAGAGCTCTCACTGATGCTGAGACCAAGGCTTTCTTGGCAGCTGGTGATACTGATGGTGATGGCAAAATTGGAGTAGATGGTAAGATTTTCACAGTTTAATGTTTGTTTTCTTAAAAAAGGATATTTTGGGAATTGAAAGGAAATGTACAGGGCTGATACCTAAATGAAATAGTAGGGCCAGTTCCCCTCTGAAAACGGTTAGACATCAACAAAACTCCATTGACTTCAAGGGATTTATTCCTGAGAACTATGCAGTTGATTTCAGTGGGGACCTGGATCAGACACATAGACTCCTGGGGCCTGATTTTTCAGAGGTGCTGAGTACCATTTCTTCCCCTGGAGTCAGGTAAAGTTGTGGGTGAACAGCACTTCAGATCCCAAGTGGATGTGGAGCCTCTGCTTTTAGCACACTTCCACATAGATATTATCTGTCACTTCACATATCACAATCAAAGGACAGCTCATAAAATTCAGAGAATAAATTGGTAATGCAGAGTAGGACTGATTTTTTTTAAAGCTGCTGGAATTGCTGTGAAGCATCTAAAACAGCTCTCATTCAAAGCCTGCCCTGCTTTATTTTGTGCTAAGGAATTGTCTGATCAGTGCAAATTTTACTTTGTGGCACTTCCATGAGAAACTAAATCAAAACTCTTCAAAAATCCCGAGAGGGAAGATGTGGACTGGCTGGGCAATTTTTTTAGACTTCATAGGGATGAAAATAGGGCATCTTACATCATGTACTGGAGATGAAGTCACTGAAAACTGGGCTGTCTCAGCCAAACTAGGACAGGTGGCAACAACTCTAACAGAGACACAAGCTAATCTTAGCCAAAGTTAAGAAGGAGAGACACTGTTGCAGGAATGTGCTTTAGCAGCAGCTCCTGTAGCGTCTACTTATAAATCCCAAATAGGACATCATATTAAACAGAACTCAGGCCATAGAGGTTCTCACACTTCAACTATGTCACCGCTAAAATTCAGCACTTCGTTTGGGAAATACAAAACCAGGATTGAAAGCTGCAATCCTGTCCTAATCCACTTCCTTTCATCTTGGCTATTGCAGCACATTCAGCATGCGTGGTAAAATCCTCCAGCTGAAAACCCTCATGAAACGAGTTAAAGAGAATTCAGGTTCATCTCAGGATTTTCTAAGAATATAAATTTATGGAGCCATTTCTTACCTCAGCCCAGTATGTGCTTTACAGGGTGAAGATCTGTTACACCCACTATGTTCGGTTTAGCAGTGGCTTGCACAGTGTTAGAATAACTATGGAAGCTTCACTCTGTGATTAGAATTTGGGGACATTTTTCTTGATCCTTTCCAATGACCCTAAGAACCATTTTCATTTAGTTTTCTTTTCCTCTCATTTTCTTTCTCTGACAGAATTCCAGGCTCTGGTGAAGGCATAAATAGCACTAGACCAAAGGCAATAAAGGACTGACACTTCAAATTCCCTCCTCCAACGAGCACCTCACACTCAGCACGTATTTATACATTTTTATATCGTCTCAAGGCATTAGTACTATGCCTGTACATTAACTCCACATATGGGACTGCTAAGAGATCTTGCAATGCAGTGTTGTTTTCAGTGTAAAGCAGGCACTTTGTGATTTTCGACCACTCACAATGTTGAAGTTGTGGCTGGAAGAAGGAAACCATTATTAAAAAAAAGTTCTGAAAAAAATAAGTTGTCTTTTATTTTCTCTGCTCAGATTTTCTTTACCCCACTCCACACCGTCTCTTCACCATGTGCTTAGACACGCTTTTGATTATCTTAAACAATATGACATCTTTTAGGGCTTAATTGTCCTGATTTGGCTGACTTGTATTTCTGCTTAATACTCTGATCCTTGAGGAAAAGGAATGCTAACAAGGTAGCTAAAAATATTCAGTCCCAGCTCTGAGATTTAGAGAAGAAATTTAAGAGGAGTTGACACATAACTCATGGTCGGGAATAAATTCATGACTAATTAAAAAAAAATCAAGTAGTAAGCTACAGCACATATTGTCAGAAAGTATTTAAGACCTAAAATGTAACTCTTCCTTAGGAAGATTTATCATCTCTTATCTTCATATTAGCATTCCCTTGTGCAATGGGTCTGGGACAGGGGAGCAGGTTCAATGCCTAACTCTGCTATTGTCAAAAAGTATGATCCTGTACCACATTTCACGTGGATGGAACACAGGATCATGGCCTTTTTGTGAAGCCATGAGCAAGTTGCTTAAATAACACTTAATATCCCTAATATCCCATGTGCAAAACAGTGATGTTCACCCTTTCCCATTTTTGTAAAGCACAGTGATTGCTACAGATATAAAGGTGCTTAGGATCACTGCTCAATTCATTTATCTAGTGCCAACACATGTAAAAATAGTATTTTGTGTTACCCTGTTAAATAATGGCCATTATCCAATCATTTCTTATATTCTAATGAATACTAGATCATTTCTACAGTCCTTAGAAGGCTTGGAATTACTCATTCCTTTGATATGCTTCTTTACAAAAGCTTGTTGAAAACTCTTACTAATTAGCTTAGTCAACAGATCAAGGCTTTTGGTTAAATGTGAAGTTCAGCAGAAAGACTAGCTGTTTCTGCTTCCAGCTGCCTAGGCTGGAAATTTGCCACAAATATTTAACTAAACACTTTCTGATTTATCACAACTTGGTTCCAGGGCACAAGTACATTATGGCTTTAATACTCCACACTGAAACTGGATGATAACTGAAACATGCTATGGCAGCTGTTTGGAAGAGCTGCATAAACAAAACATGTTGGAACTTTTATGTAATGTTCAACACTGGCATTTCCATGCATTGCAAGCTGATTACGTGATGCGGAGTGTGGCTTCACTGACACCCAGGCATGTTACAGAGCTGTTCGGCAGATGTAAGACTGGGAATGCAGAAGAGGAATTCTTGCAATCAGTCTTGCTGATGTCTTGGCAGACTTATCATGAATATAAATCCTAATTCCATCCCCAATTCCTTTGATGTCAAATTTGGGTTCAAATTATAGCTGGGGCTAATTAGCAGACTGCAGTATTGCACATAGAGAAGAGATGCTTTTGGCTCTTTTTACCTCATTCATTAATCCATCAAAAGTAAGGAATACATCCAAATCTGCAGCAGTACCATAGTCACAAAACTTGACACAAATCCTCCACATAGTTAATCAGTACAAATTAACATCAGTGTTTTTTCACCCGCATAATGCACACATAACACCACTACTGACAGATCTAAGGCCTGATACAGCATTCCTTGCACACCTAGCATTCCCAATGGGTACACCGGGAATGCAGGAGACGGCACTGAACTCTCTGCATTTCAGAGGTGCTAAGCAACTCTAGCTCTCAGGGACTTCGGTGGGTATTAGGGGTGTTAAGCACCTCTGTAAATCAGGCAAATTGTATATCAGTTGCTATACCAGGTGAAGATTCCTGAGATGTAATTGGTTTCATGAAAACTCCACTTATGCAGTCATTTCTGATGAGATGACCTGTTGTATTTTCAACAACTCTGGGGAAATCCCATAGATGACAGGACACCTGCCTTACCTTCTGAATGGCTTCTTGAGCCCTTGTCAATATTTGCACCATGGCTTCCACAGTTTCCTTTCAAAAAGAATTACTTGCACTGGAACGAACTGCAGATGCCCTATATGGCTACCAGTAAGTGAGGATTAAATTCCCTGCAATGCAGACACACAAGTGTACAACGTAGGGAAACAGTAGCAAAACAATGAGCTAGAACCCAGAACATTCCTCCAGGCATGGACAGAAGAGCAGCTTCCTGTTGCAACTCACAGTGCTTTGCAGGAGGCACTATGAGTAGATTGACCCCCCAGACCCAACAGAAGTTCATTGCTGGGTCCCAGAGTTGGGGATTTCCCGCTGCTTGCTGGGAGCCTACAGTCCCATCTCTGTAGCATGCCACTCCCCCCCTACCCAAACTGTCACTGTTTTCAGAATGGGAGGGGGGAAAGGGAGCAGAGGGAGCTCATTCTCAGGGTTTCCCAGCTGACGCTGGAGGGTGGGATGGGTGGACTGGATCCCTCCCACCTTGGGAGGGGGAAGAGGGGGATCCAATCCATGCACACCACCCTCCAGCGCCGGCTGAAAAAAATCCCAGACCAAACTCCATCCGCTCCATTTCCTCCCTCCCATTCTGAAAACAGCAACAGGCTGGGAGCTCTGCAGACACAAGTTACAGAACGGGCTCAGTTTTGGAGTATGTTCATCTGACCCCTCATTCAATGAGAGTTTAGATTTTTGCAGGTTTGGGCCCTTTTAAAGCAGTCTGCAGCCATGCACTTCTGTTTGGTCATGGCTGTAGACCACTTTCTGGGGCCAGATCAGCTGAAAATTGTCACTTCTGTCAGGCCTTCACCCAGTAGTTAGAAGGCAAGGCAGCAGCAGAAGATGGATATTTCTATTTGATTCTGTCCTTAGGGGTCAGAGAAAGGGCCTTTAAGGACAGGGGTCAGAGGAAGGATGTAGTGACGGGATTAGGAACAGATGAGTAACCAAGGAAGACTTGTGTCCTGGCTATCTTTTGGCACTGAACTGGCCCATCAGAGCCACTGCAACAAAGGAGATAGTATATCAGCTGCCATTGCTTCTGAAGAGGTGACATGCAAGCCAATTCTCTTCTGTCCCAGTGCCAGTTCCAGCACCAATGGAAAGTCCCACTGGTTTGCATGGGGAAACCCTTCTTTCACTGTTGCACCAGCTTTCCCACTCTGTCCACTTTCAAAAGTGTTGCTTATCTTTTGCAATAAGGCACAATGCATTTCCCTTATAAAACATATTCCTATTGAAACATAACACACTACCTTAGTCCTGCAGGCCTTTCTCAGTCTGGGAAGTGTGAACATCAGCTCCTAAAAAGGGGAACTGGGAAGAAAGGAGAGGCCTATGTCTTCAAGACATTAAGTTAAGGACTGCAGGAAAACTTGTTTGAATGGAGCATATTCTAAAGCACAGTACCGCCATTTACTTAAACCATTTTTAGCATCCCTTTTCCCAATGGTATTTTAAAGTGCTTGTTTCACCAAACCAAAAAAGCTTCATTCACACCCTGCAGAAACTGCTGAAATCATGTTCCCAGCTTTGAAATGAAGTCATGCCTCTGGGTAGGAGCCTCTCCTGAGTCCTAAGTAAAGGAAATCAAGACCACCTCCTTTATGTTTTACCAAGTTAATAAAAAGTAAAGGGGGGCCCAAAATGGAGACAGCAGATCTGGTTTTAGAAGTACACAGATGCTCTGATCTATTTTAGTTATTTATATGGTCCCTTCTTATGCCAGTGTGTGAGCACCAATTATCATCCTTCACAGTACTTTTGTGAGCTAGGGAGTTGCTATCACCCTTTGCATACAGGTGGCAGAGGCAAAATTATACTTGCCCAAGCTCACACAGATAGTTTACAGTGGAATAGGGACTTCAACCCAGGGCTTCCAACTCCTAAACCTGTGCCCTTCCCACTGAACCATTCTTCTTCTCAGTTACAAAATGGGGGACAGCATTTTCAAACTCCCTAACATTCAGTGCAAGTCAAGGGCCAAACTCCCTTAAACTCCCTTAAAAATCCCAGTTTGGAGGCATTTGAAAACTTTAGATCCAGGATGATACTCCAGTACCTCCAAAGTTTGGGGCGTTTGTGTAAGGCTCGTCTCTAATAAGAACAGGTGAAAAATATCACTAAAGGGTTGTGTTGAGAAGGGCAAGAAAGAAAGAGAATCTCAAAATATTCATTATGTGCACACGGGCCTGCAAGGTCTCTCCCTGGCATCGGCAGCCAGCCCATATGGATCAGTTTCGATGCAACGGCACCGCAGAAGCCTGCTGTGTTGAGCTCTTCACATGAACAGACCGGGTTGAGGGCAGGGGGGGACAGAGGGTTGGATTTATTTCTTGGAATGAGTTACTGAAATAGATACATCTTGTCTGAATATTAGATCTCTAAACAGAGATATACCTTACAGAGCTGTTTTCATGCTTAGCCTGTTTATGTATTTTAAACATTTTAATAAACAGACCTGTGGGATCTGGACTAATTCAATGTTTCAAATTTTATAAAGCCTTCTGCATTTCTAATTCCAAATAATTTTATCAGCAAATGACCTAAGGTTGCCTTACAACACAGATCCTCAACCATGGTTTTTCAGTACCCAGGAGTGCCTTGAGATCCTTTTAAGGGTAACATGAAGTGCTGTACAATATTAGTACTGTTAGGTGTGCAAACACCCATATATGATTCACAAGATAACACCAGACAGTTCAAATAGGAATCCATGCTGTCAAAAACATTCTGATCTATTGTGGTCTTTCTTAGCTCTTTGCAACAGAGGAATTCCTTAAATAATTGCTGTAGTCAAGAAACCTTGTCAGGCCAGGCCTTTCTTGATCTGCTGTCTGGTACCACG